TCTACAGTAGTGTAACAAAAGGTGTTATACTGAGTGATGACTGAAGGTGAGAAGAAAATTTTGGACCTCAATGAGATTCGATTCAGCGACCACCGGGTTCCCTGCCTGATACTCTACCACATAAGATACGAACCCACACAAATTAACGAGGTCCAACTGCTGACCAGATTTTTATTTTGCTTAGTGATCGAAGGTGAAATAAAAATTTAGTTAACAGTTGGATCTTGTAGCTCAGTTGGTAGAGCATAAAGTCGGAAACCCGGTGGTCGCTGGTTTAAATCACGCCACGGTCGAAATTTTCATTTCACCTTCAATCGTCACCCAGCATAAATATTAGTCTACTAAACCATGGCTATCTAAGATATTCAAAATGCAAAGATGTTGTGTTAAGGTGTACTTCATACAAGAATCGAAAGTTCGTAGTGATGGTTCCTTCCTTGTTCGTTAAAATCTGAATTTGAGAAAGGTTATTCAGTGTATTTGTTTATTGTTTATTGTTAAACCAGTAAGCAGCAAAACTGCATCGGTGAATTTTGGCGAACAAATGGCTATACAATGGGACGAGTAATGCAGAGACTTTTGCTCAGAGACGATACATAACTTATGGGGCGATATCGTAGAGTAAAAGCTTATGAAACTGCGGTAAGAAAAAGTTAAGTCGTCATAATAGTTTGAAGAAAAAATGCATTGGTTGATTTTTCCTCGATGTCTCAATGTGTTTGCATTTGGGATCGAAACACAAGAAAAGGACACTGAGACCACAAATAACTTGAAATTCACTATTCCATAACCTTTTAGAAGTAAATATGTGATTACACCGATGACTTGGAAGCATACACACCCTTGAGTAGACTAGGCTGTAACCAATAAATCGTTTTCCTCTGACACAACTTTATAGATCCATCCACTGGTGTATATACATACAATGTTGAAGCCATAAGGTGTAGGCTAAGGGCTTACTTGCATGCGTATCACAAATCATGCAGCTTCATGCTTTGAAGTTATACTCATAAGTCCTGATATTGTACATAATTCCATCTTAAGACACCAAAATGTATTCAGAATTCTTAAAAGTTCCTAAAATATACAACTGTAGTTTTTCAAATCAACCGCTTTCTCATTGGTGTGTTCGAGGTCATTTAACAGTCGCTCTAGTGGGCTGGACTTCAAACGCATCCATTGAAACATCTTCATTATAGCTACTTAACATTGTTCCTAAGTGTACAGAGTGATACTAAAGACTGTTTTGGAAGTTTCAATGAAGCGTAGTTTGCAGACTGATTTCAGCTGAAGAATCATTGAAAATGTGGGGGCTAGAAGATTGGATAAGGAATTAAACCCTACTATATCGCCGCTAGCGTGGTGGAGGTTACCATTTCAATGCTTCATATTTTTTCACTATTGTCAATTTGTGATATACTGCAAACATTAACCAATGGCATTACTCGGTACTTATTCTTGCACACAACTTGACTAACCACACAAATCACTGTTTTTTTTATTCCTGAAGAGTCATACACTAGGACAAAACAGCTATCTAGTACTCTCAGATTGCTAATAGTTCTCCAAATGAAGTCAGTTAGCGGGGTTGGGGGAGGATTCTTTTAGAAATCAATCTATTCTCACAAAACATCACATGAATTACTCTAAAAATTAATAGAAACCACTAGTATATTTGATCAAAATGATGTTCTTATTCCATTTATTCAAATTATCTCATCATTTTCCATCTGTTCTACTATTTACTTCTGTGTTCAGTTCACCTTGTACAATTATCATTAACATCTGTAAAAATTGGAACTGTTTAACATCATGATTGGTCTAAACTAATTTGTTTGCCAACACCATATTCCTTATTTTAGACTAAGGATATTCTGACTGTTTCTGTCTCTTTGTGTTTTCTTGTCTCACATATATAATTAGCATATTAATGTAATAGACGTGTACACATACACACATATTACTGTTCAGTAATAGCAATGATAATCATAATCAAAAGGCCTAATTTCTTGTATAATTAATTGAATTCTAATTAATCATACAATGTTTCTTCTGAATCTGCATGACATCATTGGGACTTTTGGGGTTACGGTTCATCAGTTCTAAGAATTTTTTTTCACACTTCGTAAGAATTTGTTTCACAGGAAGAAAACAATGCGAACAGCAATCAAAATTTACAGATAAACAACCTGTTTTGAAGTTATAATATAAATATATAAATAATATAATATATAAACAAATAAATATATCCACACCTATTATATAATAAAATTTCGCAGCGACAATTCTATGATGAAACGACAAATTGTTGGTTAAATCTAAAGGGTAAAAGAACACTTAAACCAATAAGTCACTTACCAGCTTCTCCCGTAATCTAAAAGTATACCCATATTAGTCGAGTAGAATACCACTTACCGAAGGAATAATCCAATAGTCATATAGTAGACTGTGGCGCCAGATAATGGAGTTTTGACTCAGCAGGTGGTGTTAGTTGTCTGAAGGTTGTTGATGAGTCCTGGGGAACACGGTACCTAGTTTAAAGGCTTCCCACCAATTTCCTTCAACTAAATAGAGCAATAACACCCCTCTTCTGTAACAACTACAATTCGGTCTACCTCAGGCTCAGTCTACTGCCTTCACTCTAGGAATAAGTTTAACTGTCAACCTCCCCAGAAGAAGTAGTAATAGTTAAACAAAGACTAAAATTGAAGTTGGGACTGACGGCTTAGTTACTTCATATTTGAACTAAACTATGGCGGTCAACTAATCACTGAATTTTCTTCTGGCTTCAGCCATCACTAGCCAATTTTATTAGAAGCGGGAATCAGAAAATTGATATCATAATAGGAAACTGTATAATTACTCCTATTATGATATCAATTTTCTGATTCCCGCTTCTAATAAAATTGGCTAGTGATGGCTGAAGCCAGAAGAAAATTCAGTGATTAGTTGACCGCCATAGTTTAGTTCAAATATGAAGTAACTAAGCCGTCAGTCCCAACTTCAATTTTAGTCTTTGTTTAACTATTACTACTTCTTCTGGGGAGGTTGACAGTTAAACTTATTCCTAGAGTGAAGGCAGTAGACTGAGCCTGAGGTAGACCGAATTGTAGTTGTTACAGAAGAGGGGTGTTATTGCTCTATTTAGTTGAAGGAAATTGGTGGGAAGCCTTTAAACTAGGTACCGTGTTCCCCAGGACTCATCAACAACCTTCAGACAACTAACATCATCTTGCTGAGTCAAAACTCTATTATCCGGCGTCTATCCTTCAGCAGAAGTTTTCCATTTCAATGTTCATATTTTCATTTACCAGTTATTGAGCAATTAGTCACCCGGAAAATAGCTTACTTAACAGATAACTAAGCGTAAGTGTAAACATGAAAGCGGTGTTAACTGACTACAGAATAAATCTTATCAATTCCAAAATTGTCACTAAGAAATGAAGGTGACAAGGTTAACACTGAAAACACAAACTCTGAAAAGTTTAGATCAAACATCAAAATTCTTAAGGACTTGCTAAAGAAGTTCATGCAACTGTTACCAAATCAGCAACAGAAGATGCCCATTTATAAACTCGACTTTCAGGAAGGAATATGGCAAGGCTTCGGTGTAGAAAAGAGACGAAAAATTAAATTCGATAATTCAAGAACTTGACGAAGACTAAGAAATTCTCAGCAAAGCTTGTTCTAAAAATACATCAGTATAAGATAAGGCTGCCTTCGCGAATATGCAGTATACTGATTGGAAGAACAGGGATTGCAGTTTCTTTACCATAGTGAACTAACTGACCGTCTATGCCGAATTCTCTATACAACTGGCTATTGTGATCCTGACCCAGTGGCTCAATAGTAACGTGATGGCCACGGAACCTGAAGGTTTCAGATTCGGTCCCTGACGGATGGGGTCATGGTGTGCACTGCTGAGGAGTCCTACGCTAGGACGAAACAGCCGTTGAGTACTGCCAGTTTTCCACTGTTTCCGCAACTGGTGTCAGTCCATGACGATTACCAACTTGAAAAACTGGAAAAGAGCTTTATTCGACCAATTGGCAAACTATGGATTACTATCCCGTTTGGAACTTGCGAACTTCTTATATGTACGCCTGCGATTCGGATCGTTGAATTTGTGTTTCATTAAGCTCATACAGGGACTAGTCAAAAAGATGTCTAACTTTTTCCATGGTGATCATCTGGTGCTGTTTTTCGATCATAAGGGTACTAAGTGACGGTATATTTGTTTAGTGAAGCCTTTCCATTTATCTGTACTTCATTCTCAGTTAGTCGCACCACAAAATATAAAAAAACTGATACGAATATGAAGTAGAAAAATTGGCAACTCACTGCCTCCGTGCCAATCACTGCTTAATTAGCTTATGGGATATAAATCAACTCGTTGAATAGTTACACAACTTAAGTGCATATTTTCTTAGTTTGATTTCAATCTAACTAAGGGGATTAGTAGTAACACTTAGTTGTTTCTTATACTAATCAGTTTTCTGCTGAAGTCTGTTATCGTCCCAACTCCACAACTACAACAAAGAAGAAGACATTATAGACAGACGGATGTATCGAGAACGATATATTCCACTTCCACGTCTACATACACTGGTCACTTGCGGGTTCGAATCTCAAACAAGACATCAGTTCCGTCGAGGTTGCAGAAAAACCTCACTGATGAGTACCAACAAGCAAGAAAACAAGTTCGAACCCAGATTCCTGATGATTACCTCAATCCAACTAAGATTTCCAGGTCTGTCCTACTGATGATCAGTTCTTACTACCGAGAAATTATGTCATTTTTTCCCACTATACACGATTAATTAAGATATACCTCAACTTAATAGTAGTATAAATCTACTGCTCACATCATTCCTTGTTTTTTTTTTCCAGTTATCTATTCAACTAATATCATGCCTCTTCAGTTAAATAAGAAGTTTGAATTGTGTTATAATTTAGTGCTGTGATGAAAACACTGAGTGATTTGTTGATAAGTAACATTTCTTGGCAGAAATTATGTATTTATGTAAATTATGTTTTCCTGTACAAAATTCAAAGTTATTTCGAGAAGTTAATTCAAAGAAGTGTTGATTTTTCTAGTAAAAGTAATATTCAGATATCCTGTAGTTTCAGAATTCTCCATTGAATCAAATTATACACTGCATGCATTACTGTAGACAATAGATGATCAAAGATAAGAACACAATCAAAACATGAACGAGTTTAGTGCATTGTATCAGTGATTTTCACAAAATTTCTGTTGACTTTGAAAGTATTGATTATCTAATTAGAATAAAGAAGACAAAAACAAAAAGGCTTACTCAATTGGGTTACTCACATAGTAATCAATATATCTGTCTATAGGCAAGTCCTGGTCAAAATCTGCGCCTTAAGTGGATGATAAGCTCTCTTGGATGTTGACGTTAGAAATCATGGAACGAGAAAGAGGCTGCGCTTCATTACATTCATGCTTATTTGAAAGGATCAATAAAATCAGTCTGTACGACAACAGAAACCAATGGTTGTAGACCGTAGGTGATGTAGTTCAGAATTAGTCTCAACGGCGCAAATGCATCCACATATCATTTTTGTTTTAGTCACCATGCTGGATTTTAGTACATCCTTATTCCTCTTTGTTCTCTTTTGACAACTTTCTGCCATTTTTGACTGGTGTCTTTCTTACTTCTTTATCTTTCGTCTAGTTACATTCTTGCTTGATGTGCTGGTATAAGGTGTGGTAAGTCCTATGCTGAAATCGTCTGTCTGTTTTTCTGATGATCAAGACGTATCTGCAACCTTCAGGAGTTATCTCAGAGACTGGAACATGCATTGTTCAGCCTACAAATACAAGTTTCTTCAAGGTTACACAAATATGAAAAATATACTGCTGAATTACTTGAGCAGTCAGCAACCACTCAGGCTGATCTGCAGATTTCGCCAGCCAGATGAGCGTGATTTAAACTAATTCTGTTGTATGAGATGGATTAGTCCGGGTACACAGTTAATGAGCTGGCTTGGCCTCAAATGAACGAAACGGCTGTCCAGTGTTTAGATCGCTTTCATTTGGCTGGAGAAATCTCCAGGTCAGCCTCAATGGTTCGTTACTACTCAGGTTATCCCGTAGTAAGTAGTATAGATATACAGATAAATTTTTTATCCTCACATTATGAATTTAGCATAAGAGAAGCCGGTTTACAGACATCATCACATTGATATTTTTTGAAAAATCTATAAGATTTTAACGGTCCTGAAAGGTAGAGAAGGGGGGTCACCAAACCCTATCATAACATCAAAAGATTCTGCTAATTATGAAATTAACAAAAAAATATCAATTTTCAGTATATACACACTGTTTCAGTTCAGATTTCTTTCAGTCATATTTTTCAACATAGGTGGCATCAAGGTCACATGGTATTCCAAGTTTGCGTTATTAGCAGTCGACATGATTATCTCATCTTCACAGTACTATGTTACGCCAGATAAACATCCATTTTATTGTAAATTCTTATGCTTATAGTTTGAGTAACCAAAAGAACCCACACTGACAATTTCGATAAGAAGTAAGTTTTCTGTTAATCATGTAATTCAAATGAATATCTGTGTACACACATTTACCACTCTTTAAGTGGTACCGTTCACAGCAGTATAGATTTACACCATTAGGATTAGATGTTGCAGTGTAGAGGAATAAGTATTCGGAGAAATGCAAACAGATGGCGATGGCTTTTACATATTATTCACGTTAAAGTGTGTAGCAATATCAAGGAGGTGTATTCCCTTTTGGATGAAGTAATAGAGAAGTCTGTTGCGTAGCAGTACTGTGAACATGTTGCCTTTAGAGTCAATAGGTGAGTTAATCTCTTAGATTTAATTGTTTGTCCAGATTCTCGCTGCCATTGTGACCATCCAGAAATTTGAGTAGTTCAAGGATAGATAAATGTTCACATTGTGACAGTGTCAAATGAATGGATATGACCGGTAATTCCTATTTATTAGATAGTAAAATTACCGGCAGCAACGTTTCATTATTTTCAGAAGCAATGGGATGTTGAGAATCGATTAAAATATATTCCCAAACTGAGTAAAGTTGTCACCACTGAAGCTTATCTAGATGGTATTCCTATTCGAGGTTTTTAACTTAAATTCCTTGTTCTTTTAGTGTTCAGATTTCTAGATAATTCAGTAAATTTCCACCATAGTCTAATTTCTTCATGAGTTAGTGATATCTTCATATCTTTCAGGAGTCGATGACATTTTTGTGTAGAAGATTACATGGGTGGTTTTCAACGGAATCCCCTTTGAGATCACAGACAGCAGGATAAATACTCAGATACGGGAAATCTCAGTTTCAAGACCAACAATTTCTGAACTATTTTCAAACTGATCATTCTATGTTACAATAAATTTATAGTGAGGAATCTTGGTAAGAAAAAGTCTAAGCGAAATCATGCACATTATTGATTAATTACCACAGACCAAAATCACTGCAAGATATGAATAATAGACCGAAAAAGCCGCCACATAAACTGCAAAAAATCTACTCACATCATGAAAAAATAAAAGATTGGCAGGTGCACAGATATCACTTGATACGCTCATACCACAACGAAAGAACATTATAAGGAAGAAAACGTATCGGGCGATGGGAAGAAAAGAAACGTTGCCCAACTCGCAACCAAGAGCGATATAAGATGAACGAGTTGAGTGCATTACACCAGTGATTTTCACAACATTTCTGTTGACGTTGAAAGTATTGATTACCTAATTAGAATAAAGAAGACAAGAACTGGCACGCAAACATGTTCCACTCCTGTCCACACCGAGGTAAATATCATGCCGTATCATCCTGCAGAGAGAGACTAAAAAATCCTCTTGATTCAGAATTACCACCGGAACAGTCTGGCTGGCTGGCTTCAGGAAAAACAAATCATGTGCCAATCAAATTGCAACGATACACTACGCATCATCATAGAACAGAACCATAGAACGGCAGACAACTGGATCCTTACCTCAACTTCATCTACTTTGAAAAGGCCCTGCTTCGATCGAGGCGTCAACCGAGAAGACATTTGGCAGGCAGCTGCTTCAACACTACAGTTTCAGTGCCACAAACCTTTATCAACCTCAGTCAACAGCTATATGCTATATGAGGATGCTACATGCCAAGTGATTCACAACACAATGGAAAGCTCAGTGATGCCTTCGAAGTGAAGATAGGAAGGAGTAAGACAAGGTTGCTGCCTACTATCATCACCGATGATCTTCCTCAATGTGATCGACTGGGCTGGACTAGGCTGGACTGGATCATGCAACAGACAACTGTGAGGAGCGAGAAGATAACCATACGTTGTTTGATCGATGAAAAGACCCTAGAAGAAGATTTGGATTTCGCCGATGATGATCTATGTCTAGTGTCTTGTTGCACAAACTCAAAGATCTACAGGCGAAAACCGACAAGTTGGCAGAAGAGACGAGACAGAGAAGACGGGACTTCCTTCAGGTGAACGTAGAGAAGACAGAGGTGATGAAGATACCCAAACGACAACATCAACAACGACAAACACCAATCAACATCAACGGGAGGGATCTAAACAAAGTTGTCTCTTCCACCTAACTGCTTACCTAGGCACCATCGTCTCAACTACAGGCGGCGGGGGCACAGATAAACGCGTGAAAGCCAGGATCGGGAGCACAGCAAGACAGGCCTTGCCTCATCAAGCTGAAATCAGTATGAAGATCTACTGCACTGAACTCCACTCCACTCCACTCAGCATAAAGCCTGAACGAGATCCGGATTTTCAACACTAATTCAGTCAAGTAAGTCAGTACTTCTACGTGATGGTTGAGAGACTTGGTGCGTTACAAAAACCATTTCCAACAACCTACACACTTACATCACATCAACAGTTGCCGTCTACGCTCACTCGAGATGGAAGATCATATGGATGACCAGACTAATAAGAAGAAGCAGGGAGGAACTCTGGCAGGCTGTCAACGAACCAACAAAGCAAGAACCTATCACCCAATAAATATGCAGAAGAAAGTGGAGATGAATTGGACATACACTTAGAAGATCATTCGAAGACATCACGCGACAGGTTAGGCCAGACCCTCGAGTGGAACCGAAGTGGGAAACGACGAGTTGGGCATCTAAGGGTGACATGTAGAAGATCGTGGGAGAAAGAAACGAAAGCTTATGAACAGTAGTGGAGCCATGTTGACAAGACTGTGGAGAAGAGAGTGAAATGGCGACGTGTTACTGAAGCCGTATGTTCCACTAGGAACCCAGGGAACGAGTAATAATAATAATGACGAATTCCATACAGATCTGAGTTTCTAGTACTCCATCTGAATTAATGTGATAGATTTTTTATTAATAACCTGCATATGCTTTTTTGTTAGACATACTATGGGAAACTTGTATGGGATAATTTTTACTGTGAATTTTGACAAATTTAGCATTGAATAAGCGATAAACACCTTCCACTTAATGATAACGTATTGGATTACGAATTTTCCATCAGTAAATGATGTTAATTGAAAAACTACCAAAGACATGTTTTCATTCTGAGACTACTTTTTGTATGAATTATGTTAATTTACGGGGAGGTGGATCACCTTAAGTCGAAGTTTACGTTGTAATATTATTGTCTTTCAGATCTATGGTACACACATCATACTAGGATAAACACCATGTCAACCTAATTTACTGGATGTCAAGTTGCTGGAAGTAGTTATCAAAAACCTTGGATCCTTATTTCATGTTTGTTAGCACTTTTCAGTTAGACCAGTAACTTGGAGGCCACTGGTTTCAACCGTGTCTCAAGCCAGGATTTTTCATTCCATCTTCAATAGCCATGCAGTATATCCTTTTAAAGTTTACAAGTCATTTAAGCTAATCATATGAAATAAACTCTTAATTCAGAATTGTTTTTCAGATTAAAAGAATATTCTTTATGATAGACATACACTAGAAAGCGTATATAAAGTGAATACATGTTTGTTTCACTTTTGAACAAATATTCGAGTGTACTTCAGTGCTACCTATCGAAAGTTCTGCGTCACCTCTAAGTGGAATGTAATTCTCTCCCACCTAATTTCCAAATGAGTACTACAAATTTTATTGTTACATACAAACAAAAAGAAAGTAAAATGTATTTTACAGTTTATTATTTTTTGAAGTAACAATGTGTCATTCAATATTTTGACATGTACACTACTGCTACTATCCTTATAAGTAGTAGTGGTAGTAGCAGCAGCAGAGGTATGATGTTGGTTATGATAAAAATGGATACAGGTATACCTGAATTTGAGATGATTTACACATCTGAATTAATTGTCACGCTATATATAAATATTGATGCATAATGCTTGAGTTTTTATCTTCTCCTATCCACTACTCCTATGATTACTATTTTTGGTTGTATGTCCTTTATCAAGTTGACGTATGATTCATTGAATTGTATAGAAAAAGTAGAAATTTCTAGAAAAGTAATCAGACATCACTATTTCAGGCTACATTGTATATCCTAGTAAGTAGACAGAAAGAAATGATTAAAATTAGGAAGAAATATCGACGTATAAATGTCGACCAAGTGACTTAGAAGTGCACCGAATGCACTCATCTTTTTCGAAGTATTTGACTACAATCTTCTCAACCCCTTTCAGTGCATGTTAATGAAGCAGTTTAACTTCCATTCCTGATTGGTTCAAGTGGGATTAATCACTCAGTACTGGCATATTGACTCTAGTCTAGACTCCTTGACACCGTTGATGAATAGTGAATAGTAATGGAGTCTACAATTTGCTTTTCGTTTCATCAGGAACTACAACACTGACTGAGAGACAGGTACATCCATTTGATGAGTAATACATTCCAATAAAGAGGCATTTTGATTTTTAAAGCAAAAGACTATCTATCCCTAATATCTGGAAGTTCCTTATCAACAAAAATAAGGGATGGGACACAGCTACATCATAGAATCCCGTGTTACCAACCACGAATAGATTACAAAATAGTGAATCTACAAGCAATATTGTGGCATTCATAAAAGGTGTCCGAATGCAGAGAGACCAATGAATTTGGTCTGGCATAAAAACAGGGTAGTTACAAGTATGGATAAATAAAAACTTGAAACTCACTATAACTTCAAATCACCATAATTATTACTATCTCGACCACAGTATACCTGGATCATTGTCTTTTGAAGTACGATTAGTTGCAGATGATGTTAACGATGAAGATGTTGATGTTGGAGTTGAATGGTAGACGTGACTACTGATTGGACCATTAGATCTTGACACTTCGTTCACTTCTGGTCTAATCATTAAATGACAGTGCTGTTCATTATTAAGATGCATAGAGTTTGTTCTCGCTATCACCGATGGTGCTGTTGAAGAAGATGAAAATGAGATCGTTGAAGTTGGTATCAATGATTCTGTTGTAGAACACACAGTTGTTGGTTCCATATCATGATTAGCACAATTATCAGCACAATACATTAGGGAATTAGATGACGTCTGTTAAATCAGTAGAAGCGGGCAAAGAAAATGACACAATCTAACAAATTAACGTTGGAATAAACATTTTAGCATGTAAATAGAAATGATACTGTAGGATACCACATACCAACTATTACAAATTTAAAGATTAGTGCGCTTTATTTAAAAATTAGGAAAATAGAAGTAATATCAGATGTTTAGGCGTCGATATTATTATATTGTTATTCGTCCCTTGGGTTCCTAGTGGAACATACGGCTTCAGTAACACGTCGCCATTTCACTCTCTTCTCCACAGTCTTGTCAACATGGCTCCACTACTGTTCATAAGCTTTCGTTTCTTTCTCCCACGATCTTCTACATGTCACCCTTAGATGCCCAACTCGTCGTTTCCCACTTCGGTTCCACTCGAGGGTCTGGCCTAACCTGTCGCGTGATGTCTTCGAATGATCTTCTAAGTGTATGTCCAATTCATCTCCACTTTCTTCTGCATATTTATTGGGTGATAGGTTCTTGCTTTGTTGGTTCGTTGACAGCCTGCCAGAGTTCCTCCCTGCTTCTTCTTATTAGTCTGGTCATCCATATGATCTTCCATCTCGAGTGAGCGTAGACGGCAACTGTTGATGTGATGTAAGTGTGTAGGTTGTTGGAAATGGTTTTTGTAACGCACCAAGTCTCTCAACCATCACGTAGAAGTACTGACTTACTTGACTGAATTAGTGTTGAAAATCCGGATCTCGTTCAGGCTTTATGCTGAGTGGAGTGGAGTGGAGTTCAGTGCAGTAGATCTTCATACTGATTTCAGCTTGATGAGGCAAGGCCTGTCTTGCTGTGCTCCCGATCCTGGCTTTCACGCGTTTATCTGTGCCCCCGCCGCCTGTAGTTGAGACGATGGTGCCTAGGTAAGCAGTTAGGTGGAAGAGACAACTTTGTTTAGATCCCTCCCGTTGATGTTGATTGGTGTTTGTCGTTGTTGATGTTGTCGTTTGGGTATCTTCATCACCTCTGTCTTCTCTACGTTCACCTGAAGGAAGTCCCGTCTTCTCTGTCTCGTCTCTTCTGCCAACTTGTCGGTTTTCGCCTGTAGATCTTTGAGTTTGTGCAACAAGACACTAGACATAGATCATCATCGGCGAAATCCAAATCTTCTTCTAGGGTCTTTTCATCGATCAAACAACGTATGGTTATCTTCTCGCTCCTCACAGTTGTCTGTTGCATGATCCAGTCCAGCCTAGTCCAGCCCAGTCGATCACATTGAGGAAGATCATCGGTGATGATAGTAGGCAGCAACCTTGTCTTACTCCTTCCTATCTTCACTTCGAAGGCATCACTGAGCTTTCCATTGTGTTGTGAATCACTTGGCATGTAGCATCCTCATATAGCATATAGCTGTTGACTGAGGTTGATAAAGGTTTGTGGCACTGAAACTGTAGTGTTGAAGCAGCTGCCTGCCAAATGTCTTCTCGGTTGACGCCTCGATCGAAGCAGGGCCTTTTCAAAGTAGATGAAGTTGAGGTAAGGATCCAGTTGTCTGCCGTTCTATGGTTCTGTTCTATGATGATGCGTAGTGTATCGTTGCAATTTGATTGGCACATGATTTGTTTTTCCTGAAGCCAGCCAGCCAGACTGTTCCGGTGGTAATTCTGAATCAAGAGGATTTTTTAGTCTCTCTCTGCAGGATGATACGGCATGATATTTACCTCGGTGTGGACAGGAGTGGAACATGTTTGCGTGCCAGTTCTTGTCTTCTTTATTCTAATTAGGTAATCAATACTTTCAACGTCAACAGAAATGTTGTGAAAATCACTGGTGTAATGCACTCAACTCGTTCATCTTATATCGCTCTTGGTTGCGAGTTGGGCAACGTTTCTTTTCTAGTTGGGGGTCTGTTTTCTTTCTTCTTTTGCTTTTGTGTATTCGATGTAATATATCATGAATGATTGTTAAGTTATCGAGGGAATACCTGTTTCTTTGTTTCTACTATTCGCCAGTATCTATCATTTTCATAAAATTGAAATACAGGGAATATCAATGCATCCGGTCGAGAACCTATGTTCCACTAAGCACCATTTAATTGTATCTACGTGAACCTGCTGCTAACAAAGTTTTTTCATCAAATATGTTGCCATTCGTTTGTCTGCTTTCATTATTTTTTAATCTGTCAATTATGTTATCCAAATGTACTGTAATGTATTTTCAGATTACTTTCAATGAACTGCTTGATACCTTAACAGTAAAACGGAGATAAGTTGTTTCTGTAGTGGGCAAGATGAATTTAGATGCGCAGAAATATATCGTGTAACTATTCCTTAAGTAGTTATCTCAAATACCAGATTTTTATACTGGTTGGATGAAACGCTTTTTTCTAGTCATCCGCTTCTTCAAACTTGATGACAGCCTGACAGCAGATAGTTGTTTCATCTTAGTGCCTTATAAGACTATTATTATTGACATTATCAAGATACTATAGTTACTCTCTGACGTTTTGAAGTGACTGGTCTTGGGTTCGACTCTTATTAGGAACAATATCACTCACTAGGAGTCGGTTACATGCAGCTGATAAGTCCCAAATGGGATGAAGTACGCTACCCAGGTCTCACTGCTAACCATAACCTATTTAATTATAATAAGTCAGTAAAATCGTTGAAATTTTACAGACTGACAGTTCCACACTACATCAAGCATACTGTCTAGAATAGGCAATTTTGTCGTCATAATTATTATTACTTCGGTAGACTGGTATCGTATACAATTTCTACAGTAGATAACTTTCGATAGCGGAGAATGCATGAATAATAGTGTGAAACTTGGGCAATGTGGTAGAATGTAATTCCATATTCGACTTGTTTATTCGATTTATAACGCACAGTGATATAGTATTATTTACTTGACGACGTTTCAAGCATAAGTTATCATTGCTCATAAACATATCAGTGTGGTCACACAACATTCAACATTCGAGTTTTATAGTCACACCACCTCTTACTCTTTGTTTTATTGGTAGTAAAATCTTTCATATCCCTGGTATAGGTGTTGCGTCATTTCTATTACATGTGTTTTGTGTTGTGTGTTGATTCGATGAACAAGGATTCAGTAACCAATATCTCTCAATCTCCACCTAATTATATTGGACTTGAGTACAGTGGCTTTATCCCACCCATCATATGGTGTGGTTGTGTGTTAATCCGTGCATTGCAATGGTCCAGTGTTTTTCTAGATTATTGATTTTATCGGGGTCTGTCGTTCTATATTTGGCTAAATTCGTATGTTCTGCTGATCTAACTGACCCCGACCGGCTGACTGTTTTGACTTATGTAGTTGACCTCACAGTCATTCTATGCAATTTGATAGATTAGATTATTTTGCTTAGTTGGTTGTATTGGATCCTTAAGCCAGCCAACAAAGCTTATCTCTGAGTTTTGAGAATTCTACGTAAAGTTTCTGATGTACCTTCCTTATATGGTAACCAAATGGAGGCTGTGAACACCTTTCTACTTCTGTTGTCATTATTATTCGTACTCGTGTTACTGTTATTTTTTCCTTGCTTGTGAGTTCGTATAAATACTTACTAATTATTAGCGTTTGTATTGTGTGCTTCAGTTCTTTGTTTAGGTCCTCTGACTGACTAGTCAGTTTTCTAGCTCCATCATTTAGACATTTGACTAAAGCTTCCTTAACTGACTGACTGTGGATGAGATGATTTGAAGTCTAGATGCCTGTTGTAATGTGTCGGTTCCCTGCAGACGGCGGTATCCAAACCACGTTTGTATATATATATATATATATATATATATATATATATATATATATATATATATATATATATATATATATATATATATATATATATATATATACTTAAACCGAACGTTACTGTTTTGAAAAAGAAACAAATTTCCCTGACTAAAGGTGTCTGAGATAACAGTGGAAAATACTTCCGTTTCTTAGACTATGCAATTTTATTCAGCATAATGTATACCGCATTTCCAACCGATTTCAGAAATTCTACCTCTCTGGCGTATTACAAGAAGAATTAAAGGTGCAAATTTGTACGAAGGTTTAGACGAACCGCTGCAAGACGGAATACCTTAACAGGTTGCAATCAAATCCCATTGATAGAGTATTGTGAAAATATGTCGTGAAATTGTCGAACACCAGTAAGCAGTATGCTGACTAAACACGGGGAAGTAGGCATGTCACATACCGTAGGAATTCTGTCAATCAAAAGGCTGGGATAAATATAATCTTTGTACAGGTTGTTTGAAATAACTGTCAGTTTCCCATAGATTTCATATTTGTCAGAATTCCTCAGCAAAAATAATCAAACATTTCTAACTGATAAATTAAATTTCTGTGCAGTGGTTCAAAATTGAACTAACCTGTAAATTGTATGATCCACTCCATGAATTATTACTGCTATTATTATTGCTGTTATTACTATTTTCTGTAGTTTTATTCTCATCTATCGAGATTAAGTTGCTGCTTGGTAGCCTAGAATTAGGCTTTGAATAGCCAATATGTTGTAGATCTCTGTTCTCATAAACTGAGGATAATTTATTTAGTTTTGAATAGGAAGTTATTTGAGGGCAAATTGATTGTGTAACATTGTTACTTGTTTGAACACCATGTTCATTATACTATTTATAAAATGTTGAGAGAAAGAACAATGTTGACAAGTCATGGACGCTTATGAGTAAAGAATACTATATTTACACTATTTAGATGAAAGCTGTTTTTACAATAATTCCAAATGGAAATACAATAACCTAGGATCTTAATACCTGAGTTAACAGAAACTCACTTACTTACTTACTCACTTACTTATCTACCTACTCACCTACTTACTTACTTACTCAATTACTTACTTACTTAATCTCTGTTTTCCCATATTTTAGGGGAAATATGCTGTCCACAGTTCTTAGTATTAATTTTTTTAATCATGATGGTGTGGTATTTCAATCTTACACTAATAACTAGGCAGTTTCATCGTGTATACTCATGACTGGATAAAGGTTAGATTTTGGTGTTACAATGTCGGAGTCAATCTGCAGGAAACCCTGATTTACCCGAGTTTCGTGTTTATTGGCACTCATCAAAAAGTCTAGTCTACAACCAAGAGTAACTGGTATTCCAACGGCTGTTCGAACCTGCTTCAATCAGTGTTGAAGTCTTGGGATACACTAAAAAATTATTCATACCACGGCTGACTCCTTGTAGGACCGAATTGTGTATGTGAGTTGGTTAGGAGTGGGTTACCATGTAGCTGTCTAGTCATTCAATAGTGATCGTAGCCCACAGATCAAGCTCTACAATCTAACCATTAAACAAGTGATGCGACACTAGAGTGCACGACCCAGAGTTCACTGGTTTAAACCATTTCACTGCCCAGATTCTTATTTTGTCTTCAGTCGTGAACTAGTATCAGTACGTCTACCAAACCACAGGTATCTCAGATAATCAAAGTATTAATTAAGTAAAAGACACATCCAGTCGTTTTACTAGTTTCTGTTTTATAGTTTACTGGATTCTTTTTTCCCAGTAGATGATAAAACAAATCCCTTTTTGCATTATGATTAATCAAATAGGTACAATGTTAAAATGATAAATTTATATATAGGATGCAGGATAGCATATTTCACTGAAGTTTGATTGACTCCAAAGTACTAATCGTAGGCAACATCATTCAGAAAATTATTAAAAGTTGAGAGTTTAATCTGTGTGAGGTTGGAAACATGAATCAGTGAAATCTAACTCACTTTCTGAATGGCTGCATGCTAGTATCAAAACCTGGTGGACTTCATTTTAATCCTTCATCGTACAGTGGGTTCACTGTAGAATAATTCAAAGCTTGAAAAAATCAGCTATTTCGTTTTCTATAGTTTTCTTGCTCTTGGTGACTAGCAAAGGAATCAAGAACGCACATTTCGTCCTATTTAGGACTAGCCAGCTGGATATACCAGGCCCCTAATGAGTGGTGTTGCTCTCACTGTGGTTCAAACCCAGTACCCTTCGCTTCACGCGCTAGAGCCACTTGGGCACAACAGCCTCTTGTGCAAAAGGGATCAGTTTTTGCTACGTTACTTGTAATTCTATAGTTTTTATTCATTCGCTAACTGATCTCTGTCCGTTATGAATATGTTGAAGTATCTTTCTTCATTTGATAAGGATTCTGGCTTCTTATATATCTCAGTATAAATACAAATCTTACGTAATCATTAGTACACTTTAACATCTTTAGGCTCTTCTAGGATAAAATTTAGGCATTCACTTTTGTCTTCTATGCAAAAATCATAACCAGAATAACAGAGTAGTAACATATTCAACGATGAAAGTCGATAAGACGAAATTACATCCCACACTGTTTTCTATATCATAGAAGTACATAGAAATAAAAATATAAAACCATGATCTGTTGCCTCCTGTTGCCTCTCTATGACCAGTCAACATCAGACTTAGCTAATTTTATGTTGTGACCAATGACTTCACTACCATCAACGACAAAATATTACAAGCTATAACATAAAAATTAAACCCGTCGCATGAGAAAAGGCTGCTTTGGCTGAGTAACCCACTGGATAACACTTTAGCATTTGAAGCGATGGGGTCTGGGGTTATCGTCTTAGTGGGAACATCACTCATTTACAAGAAGGTGGGCTGACGAGCCCCCCAAAAAGCGAAACAAGCTTCCTAGATCCTACTACTAACCAATATCCATATTTAATAATCGTTAATTTTATTATAAGAAATAATTTTTCTGAAAAATACAGAATTTAAATTACCGCATAGTTGTCATTTGCTTGCACTGATTTCAATAAACGATTATTCGAGTTGAGCATATTCTCTTGAGACATACAAGCATTATTTACTCTTTGCAAAAAACCTGGAGAAACAATTTGCTTTTCATTACAATTTCTAAGTGAAGTTGATGAATTCGTTTCAGGTGTAGTATTGGCATCATCATTTATATGCCTTAGAAATGGTGCTATATTCCTTGAGATAGTTTGAAATGAATCAGTAGTCAATTTGGTCGTACACAGTTCATGGTGTTGTCTACCTTCATCAAGATTTTTTTCCTCTACCAACCAATCACAGCGTAGCCTCTTTAACGGATGATGGTGATGATGAATGGATGATGCATAGATATCTGATATTCTTGATTTTTTGTTTCCTACCAATAAACCTGGTTCATTGTCATTTAACCGACCATCTTCCCCATCATCTACATTGATACCACTAAACTGTTGGTGATGTTTTCGATGAAGACTTGATTGTGTATGTGAATGAGAGTGTGTTTGATTAGTATTGTGATGCTTCTGTTGCTGTTGTTGCTGCTGATGATGATGACGACTGACATCTGGTGAGTTATTCACTTCCTCATGCTCAGAATCACATGGTGAATTACGATTAGGATTATCCAGGCAGTTAGTTTCACTGTGAGCACTTTCCAAACAACTACTGGTAGCCCCACCACTCCCAGGACTATTTTGACTCATACTCACAATATCATCATTGACAATCGATGTAGAATCTGAGTTTGACTGTAATAAGTGGGTTGAAACTCCTGTTGTATTACACTGAGATGGTTCTTTAACACCAAATGGATAGAATGTTTTGTGTATTAGTCTTGGATTCTGTGAAGTTAAAGGATCACGATGTTCACTGAGATCTAGACTTGGAACATTTAATGGTGTTATTTGTGTTGTTCCATGTGGATAAAAATTGATACCACTATGAGCAGTCAGTGCCAGGAAACTATTCATCGACTCCATTTCCATTGGTGAGATATTAGGGTATAACGAAATATTTCGACTATTCATGCTGTTATTATTATTATCTGATGGAGGAAATTTTGAAATCGTTGTGCAAAGACTGTCTGAATTTCGGTTACCATCTGTTAAACGCTGTTGTTCTTCTTGACCAGTACAATATATGGAAGATGATGAAGATGGCGGCTGTGATGGTACAGAAGGCGGTGGTGGTGATCGAAATCCTATACTACGATTGGGCATTGTATACAAGGCCTCGGCTAAATCTGCTGCACGCTTTAATATTAATTCACGTGGTAGACGTTCTGGATCACCAGGATGTCGTGGAATAATCTTGCATAATCTTTGAAATCCATATTCAATTGTCGGGTCAGTCATAGCTGAATAAAACAAAATAATATAGTTAGAAATATTTCAGTATAGATGTTTTTATCCTTGTTTGATCTAATAAGAGGTGAACAATATCTTTGTGATGTAAAGTTCATTATGCTATTAATGCTTACCACAAACCTGTATGCTTAAAGGCATATGAGAAGTGAACTAAACTACTAACAAACACTGAGTAGTTAGAAACCAATCACACTGACTGGTAAATTCTGCCAGTCAGAAAAGAGTGATCTAAACACTGAAAGGTCGTCTCGCTGGTTTGGGGGCCCATCCAGCTCATCAGCAATGCATCGGGACAAATTTATCTCCCAGAACCGAACTCTTCAGCTCACATGAATCTGCCTAGCTGATTTGGGTGGACCGACCTAACTAAAATAGGATGATTATTTTTCAAATGACTGACAAAATGAACTATCCACATTGACATTTCTCACAGCTGAACAGTTCTTCAACTACCAACTTTGGAGCCGATCAACAAAATTTCCGCTGGAAACCACCTGCCAACCAAGATCACAGGGTGTGATCTCTGACACAAAAGTGTCATGAACTAACTGCTCAAGTTATTTATTAGCACAATTCATTAGTTGACACTGTCACAGTTGTGAAGTAGAATAACTACTCAGGTGTGGGAAATGTCAGTATGGGTCGTGCAATTTGTAGACCATTCTCAAACTGACCATTCTATATGATAAATGATCCGGGAAGTTTTTCAGTGCCCTCAGGTGATATTAACACATAAGCAATGCCATAAGACATCTTGTCTCGCTAAGTCACTCACTGGGGCAGGTACGACAAGATGACGAGTCTCAAATAGGACAAAACGCGCTTCCTGGATTTGACTACTAGTAAGTAAGATGAATATAACACGCTGAAGTTAATTGCCAGAATAGTAGTGCACTGAAGAAAGCAAACACACCCCTCATCTATGATATTACATGACAGAGAAGCTATGTCGTTAACTGGTTCATTTAGGCACAGTGGCAGCCTCTGCATCTCAACCGAGTACCTCATTAGTGTCAAAATCCCAATCAAGCCTAAACGTCTTATTCTGGGTCAAACTGAAGTTCTAGATTCAAGCTGCTGATAAGTTCAAGTTTAGGACACAAAAGCTGTACAGTCTTGTTGCTTACAAATATTTTTCAATTAGATAGTGGTTGAGTAACTAAGACTAGTCTTCAAACAAGAACAAAATTCATATTCTAATAGGGAGAACATGTTGGCATAAACATGAGTATAGATTTGATGAACTTAATTTCACAGAGTATTTCATCACAAACAGAAATATGTCATATTTTTAAGAGAACGTTACGTAACTGACAACTGTTCATCATTCAAGAACAGCCTATCACTGACATCAAGCCAGTTTATCTATCCTATTCCATATTGAAGAGAAATCGAAGTATACTCATAAACCATGTAGAAATTCATCCAGTCAGTGACTAGCCAAACATTCTGTGTGAGGGCTGATGACGTTATCTAGTTGTCCAGAACTCAGTAAGTGGAGCGGGTTCGACCTAGTCACCCGCTGGTTGAAAGTTAAGCGCCTAGACCAATGATCTACAGCTTCATAATGTAAGTAATATTCTTTTAAAAAACTCTGGGATATGCTAAAATTGTAAAACCATAAAATTAGCATCCTCGACTCTACTACTGGTCATTACTTGACAAAAAATACCAAACTAAAATCCATGAAAACATTTAGGTATACGTTTGACGAGTTGACATGCCAACGTATACTGACCACCGTTCAGCAAGCTATTCAACAGTAATTTGCAAGTATAAATGAGTAAAAAGTAACACTCGTTGTAAAATAGGTGGTTTCCGAAACTCAGTTGCCGTATGGATAGACATTGCGGGCTTTAACTGATGAAAGAATGGGCAGGAGTGAAATTTTCTCCAAAATCTCACTATTAGCCACCGGAAGATAGTGTAAGATTCATTTCTTGAAAGAAACAAGGAGTTAGTTATGGAACCGGGCTCAAACTGAAAATGATGACGGATGAAATCTTTGTCATTCTCTCGAAAACCATTAGCTGTCATATAAGTCAAACGAAGAAGTTTGTGAGTTGATGTATTTAAATCAACGTTAAATAAAGTAATTGAGGGACTAATTTAGACACAATTACAAAGTGTAAGGTAGGTAGGTAGGTAGGTAGGTAGGTAGGTAGTTAGGTAGGTAGGTAGGTAGGTAGGTAGGTAGGTAGGTAGGTAGGTAGGTAGGTAGGTAGGTAGGTAGGTAGGTAGGTAGGTAGGTAGGTAGGTAGGTAGGTAGGTAGGTAGGTAGGTAGGTAGGTAGGTAGGTAGGTAGGTAGGTAGGTAGGTAGGTAGGTAGGTAGGTAGGTAGGTAGGTAGGTAGGTAGGTAGGTAGGTAGGTAGGTAGGTAGGTAGGTAGGTAGGTAGGTAGGTAGGTAGGTAGGTAGGTAGGTAGGTAGGTAGGTAGGTAGGTAGGTAGGTAGGTAGGTAGGTAGAAGTAAATTTGCAGTGCCATAAAACAATCTGAAATAGGTGTTTGTAGATAGAATCTGAGTGTTAGGAAAATTCACATTAACTAACAAGTAGCGGCTTAGTGTATTCAAAGGAATTGATTTTCAGTAGAGTCATTCCTTGCCAGGGATAACTTTCTTGTTGTTATATATTCAATCGCTTATTAGAATGCCATTAAAATCTTTATACTGAGTTAGTGTGCTTCATTCAAATAACATGATTTCATCATCTAGCAGAAATAGAGTTACTGATAACCTTAAAAAAGAATTATGATGATAAGTACTTGCAGTCCATTGTGTGTCTCAGTTCACTGTGTTATTCCTTGCGTCTAAATGAAAACTGGTCGACACTTCATTATCAATGCAGACGTTAGCTTCACGAGATAATACGCTGATGAGTTAGTGTAAAAAAACAGTTTTAAAATAACTTCCAATGGAAATAATCTATATGCATATTTAAAATGTAACTTACCAATATAAGCAAATCGACTGGGATTGTTTTTACAAAAGGTTTTATTTTTAAATGCCAAGGTAACTTCTACAACACCGGATAAATGTCTTGGAGGCGTACTGACGCGAAGAGCATGCTGTGTAATCAGCTGATTGTAGGTGAAAGTGAAACAGAAAACATGAGTTGAAGGTAATGAAATAGGCTTTAAAGAGAAGACATGTTTAATTAAATTATCCTTTAATTCTACAATATGGTAATAGTCGCAACTGTTGGCAAATGGGCTCCTATGCGGATGCCTCCACACTGCTTCAGGTCATCGGTGGGATGCAGGGCGCAGGTTTTGCACTATTCGGGACTCGTCAGCTAGATTTACCTGCACCCCAGTGACTGATATTGTTCCCATTGAGACTCAAACCTCGTGTCTATCTCTCCAGACGCCAAAGTGATATCTACTAGGCCAGTGGGGCATGAGAGCCCCTTTTTGAGCAACGAATATCAGTTTTTGTTTGGTACTTTTAATTCACCTTTGTTATACAGGGTCGAATTGCTCAACCTTTGTTTGATGAGTACAACATCATAGATATTTGGCAGTAGGAGCTCATCTGTCAACAGACGTTGAGCAATTCAACCCTGTATAACAACGGAAAATCACAAATATCAAACAGTAACTGACTCTTGGTCATAAATAAGGATGAAATGGATATCAGGATTACGGTAGGATTCGAATCATCAGACTTCAGGTTACCAGCCAGGCCTTCTCAACTTGTATGGGATGAGAATTCGAGGCTGTACAGCCAGTGTGATTACAATGCACAGACTCTTATGTATCACAAATTCAAATGACAGTGGAACAAAACCCTCTGTGATTAAAGCAAAGTTAGACGTGGCTAGCAGGTGATTTTTGCAGTCCATTTGGCTGAATGCCAGATAGATAACCCAGAGATCACTAGCCTAAGTCTCGTCTCAGCAAATGTTACTGTTTTATCTCTAGTTATTATCCAGTATAAACAATAAATAATTTTTATTTGACAGTCACTTTACGGAGTAATTTAGAGATACGGAAACCGTACGCACTACGTGTATCGTTGCGTATTCCTTAACAATGGCTTACTCACATGAAGGTTAATACAATTGGTTACTGATGTGTGCCTTCATTTACAGTTTTAAAACTTCCCAATCTACAGACTTTCCTGAGAAACCAACACATTGGAAATTTCTTCACCTAAGGCAGCGAAACTGACACATCAAACTATCTTCCACTATAGGGTGTCCCTTCTTGTACTCCCGAAAACCAACAGTCTATGCTGGTTGACTGCCACTTCACGTAGCATACATCCAAGTAGGGTACTCAGTGACGAAAAATTGATAACAGTATCCTAGGGCAAATTAAAAATCTACGTGTAAATAAGAGATGGAATTATGATAAGTAGCTTGAAACTCCATCTTGGCTAATTAAGTATGTTTCCTGGATGGTTAATCTTCAAATTCAAACTAACAAAAGTAGAGCAACTCTAAAGGTCACCCTAGCAACTATCGAAACAATGAATCAGGTCTCGGTATTTTGTAGTTGGTTATCTCAGCAGTTGTCAGGGTGGCCTTTAAAATCCACTAAAAAATATTGAGTGAACGAGTTATTTCTTTAGTATTAGAGTGGATAAAAGTAGAGTCTAGTTTTATTCGTTGAAACTGATTGACTTGTTGCTAACTATCATACTGCCTATGAGTGACAGCTCGCAATTCTAAAGTCAGATGCTAACTATCTCCCCTTGTTCATATTCTTGTACATACAAAGGACTGGATCATATAACGCATCACTTTTACCCGCTATTCTTGTTCTTTTCCAGTTATTGAATTTAACGATTGCTAAAAATATAGGCAATCAGTAGATTCGCAGTACATTGTTCTGATTTCATTTGATTTAGTTGACTACCTGTCTAGTGTATAGTACAGCTTAGAAATGAATCCAAAATAACCCCGAGCGCACAGTAGTCAAAGTTGCTGCAGTTAACGCTGGAACATGTAAGTTCATTCACTGAGTTTTTGTAACTGCTTGATGAAAGTTATACAGTATTTTAGATGCGAGTGCCTTCTTTAGTATTGTCATTCATGAACAACCATTGCATTCCGTGTAGTTGTAGATTTATTGTTATCTGTTAGAAGTAAATAGAGTATAGGCGTCATTTAACCTACGGTTTATACCTGTAGGTATGAATTAGTAAGGCATGTGTTCAGCACTGAAGAAAGTTATATCCCTTCAAAGATATAGGTATGTGTAACTTAAATACCTTATGAATCAGTTATTCATTCTGTAAATGATCGACTTCTGAACTGGATAAGGTGAACACATTGTTCAACTGCTCATAGTTGATGAAACTAACAAGTCTTAAATACCAACCAAAGTCAATCTCATCAACTTAATTACTGATTGAAATATTCAAACTAAAGACCAAGTGAACACAACTCACTTCACCCCATACGGCAGTTGATCCAAAAACAATTTGTAGACCAGGAAAAAAATTCTCACCAATCACTGTGATCGTTTCACCTCCTGTAACCCATCCTTCATTTGGACTCAGTGCTTTAATCACTGGACTTATAGTTGAGTAAACTGGAAAAATAAAAAAAATTACATTTTAATTATCGAACTAGTTCTGAAACATCAAATCAAACTTATGGAAAAACTAACTGCTAGTTATGATCTGATGAATGGCTTTTGGATCATCTGCCTCGTCTTCCAGCTAGGTTGAGCAATCTAGTTGTTACTTTAGTTGTGAGGTATTTGGGCATCAATCAGTTACCTGATTCCTCATATAATGTTGGTCAACTTAATATGAAACTAACACAATGGAGACTGATTAGTCAGTATATTGTTTGTTCATACACAACATCGAAAACCACCGGTATTGTTTGAATCGATGTTCCAGCAGTTAGGGATTCAAAGTATTCCCTTCATCAGCAGCAATTATTGTCTGATCACAAATAAGTTAGTTGACTAATGGAAACAATACTCATTCCTTATTTCAATAGGTTTATTCAGTGTATTTAGGTAAATGAATACTCTGTTGTTGGATGGCTGAAAGTAGTCAGTAGGATATCGTGGATCCAGGTAGCATTCTTCTTACTGATTGTCAGTAAAACTCATCACCAACATTAAGGAGCTTGGGTTGCCTGACAGATTTGAACTAACGTTACCCATGGCTGCAGCCACACTTACACTATCATCAGATCAATCTAACATTTTTGATATCATCATTCTTATCTAGGAATTATTCTTTAAATAACCAGCCACTAAAGTGATCATTATTCATGGAGTCAGAAATGCTATTCCTGACTAAGTTATAGTGAGACGAGAAGGCGCAAAAAGTCACCATCAAGTTTCAGAAGGTCAGTAGTTGTTAACATAGTTTAACTTCTCAAAAAATTATTTTAAGTCAAACCCTCAACCTGATAACAGGAGGAAAATAACTATTCCTTGTTTACAACTGCTTGAAAATGTACTTTGGAATTCCATATTATTTTTAGATGATAGAAATAGCACCATCATCCAACAAGTCCAAGGCCGTGAATGAAAGTTTCATCTTCCAATTAACTGGTAGAGGTTTGTTGAGATTTATTGATTTTAAGTTGGTATTCACCACAGACTGACATTGGTTAGAGAACGATTGAAAGTGTGACAGGACTGAACAGCTGTTTCGATCTAATGTGGGACTACTTAGTGGTGGGAACCCATGACCCGCCAGGGATCCCAACCAGAATCTACAGGTTTTATGCCGAGAAAGTTACAGCTAAGCCAATGAGTAAGGATCCAGTGGTCAACACTTTTCTACCCCTCTCAGATCGCTATGTAGCGTAACCTTCAAACAACGCCACTGGTGAGGCAAACCATGTCGAATATGAGGACAGTTACTCAACAAGGTTTCTATATCTCGCGAACTGACAAAACCATGGAAATGTGAACTGTTGGATTCAAACCCATTGGTGCAGTGGTGATGTGGTCACCGTGAAAAGTGAAGGTTCTGAGTGAGATCCCTGGCTGGGTTATAGTTCCAGACTGCTGAATAGTTCCACACTAAGACGAACTGCCAACTTTAAATACATTTATTTTGTTCAATAGACTATATATCAAAAAAACACATCCGATACAAAATAATGGAGCAATCACAACTTCTTAAAGCCATTAAAAATATCGAAACCGTGAACAAATATCCCATTTTTCCCTGTATACAAAATGATGGAAGCATTTCAGTTGACTAATAGTTAGCTTTCCGCCTATTTCATCTTCTTCCTCAAAATGGTAATTGTAGACCGTTAAAGCAGATCGAATTTCTCTTGTTTAGTCCACAATGAAAAGAATAACAACAAATGACAATTAAGGTAAATTCACGCCTCATTTAGTACCATCTAATTTCAACCCTCAGGGCAGTCCCAACACCATGAGATATACATAACATATACATATGAGTATTATCCTCTATGTATATGTACCTACAATTCATGTTCTGAGCATGTGGATGAATTTAAATGTGTGTATGCATATCAGATACAGGGGTAGGGCTCAAAAATCTCCTGAGAATTGACACACAATTCAGTTTGTATAAAATTAGATATACCAATATAAAGTTCTCTGAAACTTATTTAAGACTAAGAAAAATAATGGAATAAAAGTAATAAAATATTCTGTAGATTGATTTTCTCTGATATTTCACTGTAAAAAGCCAAATTATCTGTTTATATGTCGTTGGTGTTATTCTAAAATTAATAATTAACATGAATTCATCAGCGTCCACATTATTTTTCCACTCAAGTTCAGTCGATGATCTCTGTTGAAACAGTATTTTATACCTTTGACTTTGAGTTTGTCTGTGGTATGAGCTTGAATTCAATGAAGAACGTTTTTTATCTTACTGGTAATTAGTCATGATGGATAGTGGCTAGCAGTGGAATTCAGGACATGCATTTCTTCCTATCCCCAACTCATCAGCTCAATGTACATACCTCCTAGATACTGTTCCCACCTGGACTCGAACTCCGGACAGACCGCTTCAAACGCCAAGGCGTAAACCATTAGGCCACCAAGCCACGATGGTCACTTCTTGTGCGATGGGTATAGTTTTAGTGTTGTTGCTTGTATTATCCCGTCGTCGACTGAACCGAAGTGATCGCTGTCAATTGGCATATGGAGTCTTGTACAGATGCCTCGTTCCAATCGACGATGGGATAATACAAGCAATAATGTTAAAATTATCCCCGTCGCACAAGAAGTGACCATAGTGGCTCAGTGGTCTAGTGGATCTCGCCTTGGTGTTTGAAGCGATCGGTCCGGAGTTCGAGTCCAGGTGGGGACAATATTACTCACTTAGAGGTACGTACATCAAGCTGACTAGTTGGGGATAGGAAGAAATGTTTATCCTGGATTACACTGCTTACCACTATTCATCATTAATACATAAATGATGCACAAGCGATATCGGGGCATCCGCACAGGAGCCCATATAATAATAGAGACCAATCTATTCGGTCTAATCGGTGACGGAATAATACAAAAAATAACATTACTGGTAACTAATTAGCCGGATGGATCACTGTACCATTTGTTGATATTTGCACGCCACTGCTTTAGACTCTCTGGCTGAGTTTACTAAACTAGTTAGTTAGCTATGGTGACCACTTGTTATGGTGAGGATTAGTGAGAATGCCATAAAGGACGTTAAATATTCACTGAAGATGTCGTTAAAGTGCGAAATGTAGTCCTGTGGAGAGAAAACCGAATGAGAAGTATTGTATCCAGTGACTGGCTCTACATCAGTTACATATGTATTAACAAATTATTTATCTATCAGCGTTCGGTTGCATATTTTCGTCTTCATTCAACAGATCGAGTTTCATGTGAGTTATAAACAACAAAGAACGAATAAATGCGTTAATTAATTTTCTCATTTCTCATTTGATTCGGTTCATTTCATAAACTCTTTTAATAAAAGTAATGATCAGAAAATATATTTTATTCAGATGGTGTATAATACACTCTCTTTCTGTGTACTGATTAGTTACAAACTGAGGTATTGATTCGATTACATCATTGTTTATGATTTAGGTAGATATTTTAGTACCAATATTTTCTGATTTTTGTAACTATTCATCAAAAACAACCAAATGACTGATCAATAACTCAAAGATTAACTAACAAGATACACACAAATGTATTATTTTGAAGAACAAAGAGAATAGTTTTCCCAAGGGAAATTAGTCCAACATACAAATTCATTTACTGGTTGAGTTATATCTTCCAAAATGAAAATGTGTTTTCTGTAGATATTTTGCAGTTGCTCTAAACTTCCCTTTCTCTCACACGCGCGCGCCCTTATAATGCTCACTCTTACTATCTCTCGTTTGCCTGTAATCTTTAGAGATAAAGAATAGAAAGAGGGGCAAATTACTCAATGCTTCCATGTAATTACACGTTGCGGACATTTTGAAAATGATGAGTAAGTTATAGGTGGACAAAAAGAAATATGTCCACTTTTATGAGCGAAATAAAAAGCAACTTGATTTATTCATCTAGTGACTGATGATTTTGTTGTCTCTGCTGTTAACAGTATTCATTTCATCCTTGTACCGATTAACAATCATTTCTTGTTAATTGTTAATAGTTTATCTTTCATCAGTGCACGTATAGATGACTTACTACTAGCTAACACATCTGAAACAGAACACATACAGCCTCTAAGAACGCGTTTTGAACAATCGCATGGACTTGGCAATAACAACCAACCAGCGGAAATGTGAATTTGGCAATGAGTCACTACAACTTTGGGTTCACATAATGGATCCCGATGGTGTTAAATCGGTTCCACAAAAAGTAAATGCATTTGATGACTATCCTGTTCCATACTTGTTTAAAAAGCTACGTTTTATAACGAACTATACTAGAAAAGCTCAGCCACTGATAGATCTGTTACAATGATGAGCTAAAGTATTTCAAATTGACCAAGCGACCCTTGATGAATTTGGCAAAGTGAACCTTACTGTAAGTTCTGAATCTCTCCTCTCTCTTTATGATCCAGAAGCACCATTAGCAATCATAATATACTTCAAATGTTGCAAAAATAAAGTGTTGAAGGGATTACTAAAGTGAAGATTATTTTTCACCATGAATAAAAGCGAATCACCAGTTATTGAAGAGATATTTATTTGACGTTTAACATCATCGTGAATATGATTCGTTGATCCCTACAGAAATTAAAACTAACAGTTTTTAGGATCTGGTTAGAGGCAATACTTCAAAGATAGAATCCGGTTTCCAGTACTTGGCTGCGTATGAAAAACCTCGTAGATAGTCATATTCTGTCACCACTTTAATAAAAAAAGTTAACTCATTTGCGATTTGCTACCAAAAAACCACTTCCCTCAAGTTCTTATTAGTAAGGTGTAGTCTGTGGGGATAGATCAAGTTATGGAGGTCAAAATAAATGCTACACGATTATTCTAGAAGCCAGTTCGAAATGGTTTATAAATACGTTCAGGTATTCACAGTTTATCAACCTTGAACAACTACTACAGATGCATTCGCTTCTACTCAATTCCTTTGTACTCCAATACTGGCAGGAT